TGGGCTTAAGCTTTCCTAACTATACCTAGACACCACACTCCCAAGCTAAACCCTAAACCTCTAAGGGCTTAGGGTTTAGGAACCCCGAAACCCTGAACCCCCAAACCCTAAACCCTAAATCTTAAACTCTAAACCCTAAACCCTAAACCCTAATCAAACCGACGTGCCCCAGGTCTCTGCTACATCCGGCACTACATCATGAAGTATAAGTAGCCGAGCAGCTCCCCGACCTGGAGACTCCAATTAGAGGCGGTTTAGGGTTTAGGGTTTAGGGTCTAGGGTTTAGGAAAGTTTAGGGTTTAGGGTCTAGGGTTTAGGGTTTAGGGTTTAGGGTTAAAAGTTAAAATACTTACCAACATATTGTCATAGGCTTCCTTCTTCGTCTTCTTGCTATCACTGTTATTGCTGTTATGAGTACTATGATACTGTTATTGCTGTTATGATTACTATTATCCTAGTATTGTTGTTATTGTTCTTCTAATTTCTATTCGTATTGCCAGAATTATGATGATTGTCGATTCCTTCGTACTATTCCTAGAGCATAGCATACCCATAAAGCCTATTCATCATTAAGGCCCCTGTAAATCGCATCCCCATTCAATCAGACGGGTTCCTCCATGGGTGCAAAAGGTGAAGGAAAGGGTTCTATGAGGCCGAAAGATGATCCAGCTGCATAGGGTTCCTTTGGGTTCCTTTGAGTTTTAGGAGATTTCTATTGGTTTCTATAGACTTCTTATAAGGCGTTCATATGGGTTTTATAGGTCCGTATCTCTAAGTAGCGCAGGAGACGGTGTTGAAGATACACGTCATCTTAAAGCTTTCGCCCCGATCCCTAGAGCTGCCTTAAGATCGATCTGAACAACTACAGCCGCCACAAGGACCCATCAACTTAAAGCGTGCCCTGAACCCTAAACCCTTAACATGTGCGGACGGAAAAGGGCCCTAGAAAAAACAAAAAACAAAAAACCTTAATTTAAAGGATGCTCTTGGAGTCTCTGGGCGCCGTTCGCAGTTCCAGTTTCCCCGCGGACAGACTTCTGTTCACGGCATCGAAACACCAAGAGTGTCAGGGTTTTGGGTTATGGGTTTTGGGTTTAGGGTCATATGGAAGTCTGAACAACTTGTAAGAATTCCCCACATAATCCATTCACTACTTCCACATCTAAAACTCATTGACAACTTAGTGTGATGTTGGGACCTGGGTCTGTGTTTCTTCTCGAGCGTTACATTTCCGTCTTCCTGTTTCCCGTTTTCGCTTCCAGGAATTCAGGGTATAGGTGTGTGTGTGCGCGCGTGTTCAGCGCTGATGGTCGTATTTTTTTGCAACTGCTTACTTTTCCATTTTACTCGGGCTGGATGAACTCTTCGCTGGACAAGGTCGAAGCCGCACTACTATGTAACCTATGCCCCAGGTGTCCACCCCAAGCACCACCTGAGCCCTACATACTAGCCACACAATCGCTCGGACCCAAAGCAAGTTGCCACAGATAGGCATCTCATAGGGGTCTGAATGAGCGTCAATTCTACTTCCTAGGGTACTTTAACATAGCTGAAGTAAAGAACCCGCCCAGTATACCCCTAGTCCTAAACCCTAAACCCTAAACCCTCAATGATTCGGGCTAGTGTTTGTGTGTTTTGTCTCGTGCGTCCACGGGATGAAGCATCAGCTCAAGTTAAGGGTTTGCACAATAATGAAGGGGCCTAAATAATCACTTTTTGGGGGTTCCTTATTGTAATCATATAGTATAACGGACCCCAAGGCCCTTTAGGGGTTCCTTATTGTAACCATTTTGTGTCATGGGCCCCAAGGCCCTATTCAAATTATAAAGGTTCCCCTAAACCCTAAACCCCAAACCCTAAACCCTAAACCCTAAACCCTAAACCCTAAACCCTAAACCCTAACCCATCTTACACAGCGCTCCAAGTCTCGGAAAGTTTGAACTCAGAAATCCCAGCAGCCGGAAGTCCCCCCACTACAAACCGGCTGAACACCTTCGTACCTTAAGGACGAAAAGAACCTTAAAAGTAGGGGCCCTATACCCTTATACTATGAATCCTTATATGGTAGATGAACCCTAAACCCTTTTAGGGCTCTTTTCGTTCTTAAGGTAGGGCTTCAGGGCTGCGGTGGTTTGGGCTTTCAGGTTGCTAGGAACCGAAAACGTTGAACCCCTCAGAATTGAAGGGATTAGGGCCTCAGGGTTTAGGGGTTTAGGGGTTTAGGGGTTTAGGGTTTAGGGTTTAGGGTTTAGGGTTTAGGGTGTCCTGGCACCCTCTTGGGATCAAATTGTCCGATCTTCATTGTAAGTGCGCCTAAACAAGAGTGCGTTACAGGTTGTAGGGGTCCGAACCAGCTTGGCAGAACATAAGGATTCAGGGTTTAGCTGGGTTTTCCACATGCGGGTTGCATAAGGGATGATAGGCTTTCCGGCCTACATACGGTTTTTTCCATCCAACAGCCTGTTGGTAAAGGGATCATAACATACATACTACTGTATTCTATCGGCCTGGATTGAGGTCTACAGGTAAGGCTTCACTCAGAAGCCTGAACAATTAGAAATCCCAAAACTCAAAACCATACTGTTGATGATATAAATCCTGCATTACCTTAGGGACCCTGGATAAAGCAGGATTTATATCATCAACCATGGTTCCTAGGGTTGAGGGTTTATAGGGGCCCTAATCTTGATGCCGTTAACTACTCAACCCGTTGATTCTCTGGAAGTTTCAGAAATCGGGAGTCCAGGAAGCTAAAGCGCAAAATAAGAAAGGGGCCTGTACCCTGACCAGGGTTCCTGAAAAGACCGTGCACGACAATTTTCCCTATACTACGGAGGCCTTAACGCAGACTGAACCCTAGACCCCTACGCCCCAAAGTACACCTTCGGCATTTCACCCCTTTGAGATCCTTCTCAAGAGACGTAACCCTAAACCCTAAACCCTAAGCCCTAAACCCTGAACCCTAAACCCTGAACCCTAAACCCTAACCCTAAACCCTAAACCCTAAACCCTAAGTTAAGAGCCTTGCAGCTCTGGCTTGAAGAAGGCACATTTTAGTCTTTCCCGGGGAGCCCAAGACCTGAAGAATTTAGGGTTTAGGGTTTAGGGTTTACTAAGGCAAAATATGTTCTGATGCAGGAACTTCCTGAAGTGAGCACAGTTTCAGGGTGTTGACCTCCTCAAAGAACATTGGGCTCCCTGGATTTAGCCTTCTGAAGTCCGAGCGAAGATGGCGGACGAGAGGCGCCGGCGAGGGTTTGAGGGTGCAGGGTAGGGTCCAGTCGCCGAGGTTTGTGACCCTAACGCCTACCCTAAGGCTCATGGACCCCCATAGTGAAGGCCCAAACCCTAAACCCTAAACCCTAAACCCTAAACTCTAAACCCTAAACCCTAAACCCTAAACCCTAAACCCTAAACCCTAACATAAATAAGAGCATTAGGGTAGGCCCTAAAAACCACTAAACGCTGTCGGTGGTCAGCTTCAAGGTTCGGGACCCGGGGTTTAGGGTTTAGGGCTCAGGGTTTGGGGTTTAGGGTTTAGGGTTTAGGGTTTAGGGTTTAGGGCTCAGGGTCTGTTGTTTAGGGTTCAGGGTTTAGGGTTTAGGGTTTAGGGTTTTTAGGGCTCAGGGTTTAGGGTTTAGGGTTTAGGGGTTTAGGGTTAGAGGGTTTAGGGTTTAGGGTTTTTGGGTTTAGGGTTGCACTTCTATTGTGGAGGTCCCTTGCCATTGTCTGGGCTGGCATTTTC